TGGAGGATGGTTTGGGGGGTTAGATTTTCCCCGTTCAGGTCAGAGACCCACCACCCGGTCTAACCTCCTCTTTGGCTCTGGGTAGAGAAGAGCGGTGACAGCCGTGCGGTGGTGTAAGACATGCCCTCGGAGCTTCTCGCTGATGTCTGCTTACCTTCAACACCCAAACGACAATCTCCACTCTGTTCTTTGCAGGGTAGAGCTCCCCTTCCCGAAGACACGGTCCCCAGACTTGCGGAAGCAGCTTGCACAGCAAACAGGGGGCTGAAGCAAAATATCAACTCTGATCAAAACCCTTGGCTCACCCATCAGTAAGCGAAGAGAAGGACAAGCGTGTCTGTCCTCACCGGCTAACGTCCTCAAAGGGAAAAGGGAATTAAGAGACCAAACACCCACCAAAGAAAGTACCAGGGAGGTACCAGACATCTCCGTGAGAGGGCAGAACCCCTCTACTCTTGAGCAGTACTTAAGTCCTGCAGGCATTTTGTAATTGTGATATGAATGGAGGCTGGGGACTGTGTTGCATGTTGATTACACTGACACTTGATGTATGATTGTGAGAGTCTTACTGCTTCTGAATCTTAAGGGAAATACTGAAAACTGGGAGGAGATCTTCAAGATCACTTTTTCCTACATCAGCTTTTCTGTGTCTTTTCAGTTTCTGTTGTGGTATTTTTTTTTGTTTTGGGTTGGGTTGGGGTGGGATTTTTCATAGTGTAAAGTTGAAATGAACATTTAAAGATTTTCGAGCATAAGGTCGTAGAGAATTGAATGTACTCTTTGTGGTTTTATAGTAGAATAGGCTAAAACGTTTATAATAAACTTAGGGCACTGTAGAATATAGGGCATCAGGAAGCTTTGCTTTCTTTTAATTAATTGGTTATGGTCTATAAATAATGTGATATTTCCTGTCGCTCACCCATTTTCAAGAGTCTAATGTCTGATGACAGAGAACAATAAAAGCTACTTGGAATTCCCTCAGGTGAGTGTGCTGTCTTGAAATTCACTTGTCACAGTCATCGCCAAAGAAATAGCCATGCCAAGAGCAGGACTTTGGGAATAAATCTGTGCATTTGGAGTGGGTTTTGTGCAGTGGAAATCAGAGCGACCTGGAAACTAGGCCGATCTCAGAGGCCAGAAGAAGGTGAAGGGGGCTTTTCTGAGCCAAGCTGAGGCCCGAGAGATGCTGCCCCCATCCCCTTCATGAGGGCTCCCAGTCTGAATGGGGCAACAACCTCTGTCCATTCCAGAAACGAGGCCAGGAATTACTACGGGGAACTACATTGCGATCGCTGCCGTGGTTCATGGACCAGCTCGCTCTGGATGCTGGACACCTGTAACGATGAACAGCTTTTTTTAGCTAAACAGCCTAAAAGGAATTTCTTCATTGTGCGTAAACAGTTCAAAGTGCTGTAGGGAGGGATTAGAAAAAACAGCTTTAAATAAATCTTGTTTTCAAATGAAAGGCAAACGGAAGCATAGCTTCCGTTGGTGGTGCGAGAGCAGATGGACCGGGAGGAGCTGTGCGGGCAGAGCGAGCCCTGCCTGCTGCGTTTCGAGGTGCTGCTGGAGAGCCCACTGCAGTCCTTCCGAGCTGAGGTAAGCCTCACTGACGTAAACGATCACGCTCCCGGGTTCTTAAAGAAAGAGATAGTTTTACAGATCCCGGAAAGCGCAATGCCGGAGTCTCAATTTTTGTTGGAAATCGCTCAGGACCCGGATGTGGGGAACAACAGTCTTCAGTATTACAGTATCAGCTTGAATGACTATTTCAGTATCGACACCGTGAGGCGGAGTGATGGCAGGAGGTACGCCGAGCTGGTGTTGGAGCGAGCCCTGGACTGGGAGCAGCAGGCAGAAGTGGCTTTCGGTGTCACTGCTGTGGATGGTGGATCTCCACCACGCTCTGGTACAGCCTTAATCCGCGTGATAGTCCTGGATATAAATGACAACACCCGGTATTTAGCTGGCGTGTGTATAAAGTCCAAGTATTGGAAAACAGCTGCCCGGATACCTTAGTGGTGGCGGTGGCTGCTAGAGATTTAGACTCAGGAACGAACGGGGAAATAGCCTATTCCATAGTTCAAAATTCAGAGGAGAATCGCCAGAAGTTTCAAATAAATTCAGAGACGGCAGATTCGACTCAAAAAGCCGGTGGATTATGAAGAAATAAAGACCTACGAGATAGACGTCCAGGCCACAGGTGGAGGGGGCTTGTCCGCGCACTGCAAGATGGAGGTGCGAGTGGAGGATGTGAACGACAACACCCCCGAAGTGATCATCACCTCCCTGTCCAGCACCCTCTCGGAAGCCGCCCCGCCGACCACCGTGGTGGCCCTCTTCAATGTGCGGGACCGGGACTCGGGGGACAACAGCAGGACAAGCTGTGAGCTGCCAGATGAACAGCCCTTCAGCATCAGGCAGCTGGCGGCCGACGCGTATGTGCTGGTGACATCGGAGGCGCTGGACTGGGAGCAGGTGGGGGAGTACAACGTGACGGTGTGGGCTCACGAGGAGGGTTCCCCTGCGCTCTCGTCGTCCAAGACTCTGCTCATGCGGCTCTTGGACACGAACGACAACGCGCCCACCTTCACCCAGGACAGTTACACCATGGTGGTGAGTGAAAACCAGCTCTCAGGGATGAGCCTGGGCTGTCTGACCGCCACGGACGCCGACGAGGGAAAAAACGCCCATGTGAGTTACGCACCGGTGCCACCCCACCAGACAGGCCGCTGCGAAATCGTTCGTGGCCGTGGATGCAGAGAGAGGGACCGTGCAAGCGCTGCGCCCGCTGGACTACGAGGAGGTGCGCGCCTTCGAGGTGGTGGACCACGCTGCCAACGGGGGCTCACCACCGCTCCGTGCGCAGGCAGTGCTGCACGTAGTGGTGCGTGACAAGAACGACAACACGCCCGTCGTGCTGCACCCACCCCCCGACAGCAGCGGGGCAACAATGTGCGAGCTGGTGCCACGCTGGGCACTGGAGGGCTACCTGGTGGCCAAGGTGGTGGCGGTGGATGCAGACATGGGGCAGAACGCGTGGCTGTCATACGAGCTGGCCAAGGCGCCGGAGCCGGGGCTGTTCCACGTGGAGCTGCACAGCGGCGAGGTGCGCACGGCGCGGGCCGTGTCGGAGCGGGACACGGTGCGGCAGAGGCTCGTCGTGCTGGTGCGAGACCGTGGGCAGTCACCACACACCGCCACCGCCACTCTGGCCATCGCCCTGGTGCACGGCTTCTCCAATGCCATTAACCAGCTCTCCCACACTCCTGAGGGGAGGCAACAGGAGGCTGAGGAGGACCTGCTCACCACCAACCTCATCACCGCCCTGGTCGGTGTTTCCTCGCTGTTCCTCCTGTCAGTCCTCGCCTTTTCAGCATACAATTTCTGCAGGGCTCGCCTCCGGGTAAGGCTTTTGCTGCCCTCTGCCCGCTGCTACACTGACAGCGACTTTGCCGCCGACAGCGTGGATGTGGCCGGCACAGGGACTTGGCTTACTGCTATGAAGCATGCCTGACCACCGGCTCGGGGAGGAGCGAATTCCAGTTCCTGAGGCCCATCCTGACCAGCCCACAAGGCATCGTTGAGACAGGGGGGGGAAAGGCTGAGGAACCGTTATGTCGCTCGCAGGCTGCTGGCAAGTGGGAAGCCATCCCGGGGAGCAGAGCCCCTGCTCCTGGTCATGGGTTGGACTGGCCGGCCGGCAGGCACGTCCACGCCTGAGCCCCGCCGGGACCTGCCTATGCTCCTCGTCCTCAGCCACAGATTCCCGAGTAGTTGTAGTGCCATCCTCTGCCGTTAAATGTCTGCTGGCCCCACGGAGGCTCCAGTTTGCTTTTTCCTGCCGGAGGAGGTGGCTTGACAGCAGAGGCAAGCTGACCCTTAGCCGACCGGTCCCGCGGGGGTTATCTCTCAGATTTTCTGCGTTAACCAGTTGACGTGACAGCTGGTCAGTAGTTACTGACCAGTCAGCCTGAGCTCTGCCTGGGCAGCTCAGGGAACAGATACTTCAGGGAGCTCTGCTGAGGCACCTGGAGGACAGGGAGGTGCTTGGGGACAGCCAGCACGGCTTCACCAAGGGTGAGTCTTGCCTGAGCAACCTAGTGACGTCGTGCGGTGGAGTGACTGCATCAGGGGACAGGGGAAGAGCTACGGGAGTCGCCTACCTGGAGCTCTGCAAGGCATGTGACACGCTGTCCTTGTCTCCAAATCGGAGAGACAGGTGGAATTGCTGGATGTAGTGTTGTGGGGATAAGAATTTAGCTGTGCCATCGAATGGGGAAGGAATTTAATGCCGAATTTACTGGAGAAGGAATTAAATGGATTATTGAGCAGAGAAGAAGGAATTGGGTGGGCCGCCGGGTTCGAGGAGTGGCCGTCACCGCCTCCGTGTCCCTGCGGAGATCCATGACGAGTGCTGTCCCTCCGGGGTCGGTCCGGACACTGCTTAACCTCTTCCTCCCCGGCACGGAGAGCGGGATGGCGCAGAACCTGAGCGCCTCGGGGGCTGACAGCAAGCCGAGTGGCGCGCTGGCCGAGTGGCCCGGCGGACGACGCGTGTCGCGTGTCCTGCCGGCGTGTCCGTGGCGGGGCAGGGCCCGGCCTGCCGGGAGCCCGGCGCGCACGCCTGCCCGCGGGCTCTGGGCAGCGGGGGAGGACGCGGGGCAGCTGCCGGCGCTGCCCTGGCGCTCGGGCTGCAGCGGCGGCCCCGCCGGGCTCTGGGCGCTCCTGCCCTGCGCTTGCCGCCCCGGCGCGGGGTGCGCGCGTCCTGCCGCGGGGCCCCCACGCGTGTGCGCGTCCTGCCGCGGGGCCCCCACGCGTGTGCGCACGGCCGCGCGTGGCGGGGCGAGCCGGCAGCGCGGGCAGCGGGCGGCGGGCGGCGGGCGCAGTCCCGCCGCGGGCCGCAGGGTGGTGCTGCCGGCCAAGGCGGCGCCGAGCGGCTGCGGGCGGGGAGGCGGCCGAGCCCGGCCCGGCCCTGCCCAGCCCAGCCCAGCCCAGCCCAGCCGGGCGGCGGCGGCGGCGGCGGCAGCGGCGGCGAGCGGTGCCCCGGTCCCCCCCGCTGCAGGGCCACGGCGGCCGCGCTCGGCGGAGGACGGCGCGGGCGCCCCGCGGGACGGAGGCTGCCCGCCGCCCCGTGCGCCATGGCGCCGGCAAGGCAAGTGCTCTGGCTCTCGGCTCTCCTCTGCCTGCCGCCCGCTCGCTGCCAGCCCCTCCGCTACTCCGTAGCCGAGGAGGGCGAGCGCGGCTCCGTGGTAGGCAACGTGGCGGAGGACGCGGGGCTGGCCCCGGCGCAGCTCTCGGCTCGCCGCGCCCGCCTGGCCTCGGAGGACGGCCGGCAGCACTTTCGCTTCGAGCGCGGCACCGGCCGCCTCGTGGTGGCGGAGAGGCTGGACCGGGAGGAGCTGTGCGGGCAGGCCGGGACGTGCACGCTCCCCGTCGAGCTGCTGCTGGCCGACCCGCTGCAGTTCGTGCGGGTCGAGGTGGCCGTGGAGGACGTCAATGACCACTCGCCCGTGTTCCCGGAGGAGCAAGTCACGCTGAGGATCACGGAGAGGAGCGACCCGGGCTCGCGTTTCCCGCTGGAGTTAGCTCAGGACCTGGATATTGGCAGCAACAGCATCCAGGCTTACAGCATCGCTCCCGAGAATGAGTACTTTAGCATCTCCTTTGGGAGTCGGATTAAGGGCAAGAAATTTGTTGAACTAGTCCTGGAAAAGCCGCTAGACCGAGAGGAGCAGGCGGAAATGAGTTTCAGTGTCATTGCTGTGGATGGGGGCTCTCCCCCCAGGAGCGGTACCACCCAAATCCACATTGTCATTCTAGATGTCAATGATAATGCTCCCATCTTCACGCAGGAGCTGTATGTTGGGCAGGTTTTGGAAAATGCCCCAGAGGGCTCTGTTGTTGTCAGCGTGGTGGCAACCGATCGGGATGCAGGACCTAATGGGGACATCACTTATGAATTCAGCCAAGCAGTGGGGCAGAGCAACTCCGCTTTTGGGATTGACCCTGTCAGCGGTGAAATTAAACTCACAACGCCTCTGGACTATGAGGCAGCAGAGAGTCACGAGCTCAGTGTGCGGGCCAGAGACGGCGGGGGACTGTCGGCAATCTGCAAGGTGTTGGTGGAGGTGGTGGATGTGAATGACAACGCACCGGAGCTGGTGGTGAGTTCCTTCAGCAGCTCCCTCCCCGAGAACGCGTTACCCGGGACGGTGGTGGCCCTCTTTGCTGTGAGGGACCGGGATGCCGGTGCCAACGGGCAGATCTCCTGTGCCCTTGAGGACCAGCTGTCGTTCTCCCTGCGGCCGGCCTATAAGAATTACTACGAGCTGGTGACTGTGAGCGAGCTGGACCGGGAGGAGACGGCTCGCTACGTCCTCCCTGTCACAGCGGCGGACGCGGGGTCGCCTCCTCTGACGACCACCCAGACCTTCACGGTGGCCATCTCCGATGTGAACGACAACGCGCCTGTCTTCAACGAGACGTCGTACACCATGTACGTGCGAGAGAACAATGTCCCCACGGTGTTGGTTGGAGCTGTGAGCGCCTGGGACGCTGACGTGGGGCCCAACGCCAAGGTGACCTATTCCCTGGCCCCAGCGCAGCCCGCAGAGCAGCCTCCCTGCTCCTGCCTCTCCATCAACTCAGAGAACGGGCACGTCTTTGTGCTGCGGCCCTTGGACTACGAGCAGGTGAGGCGGGTGGAGGTGTGGGTGATCGCCTCTGATGCAGGGACTCCTCCTCTGAGTGCCAATGTCACCGTCCGCCTTGTTGTGGTGGATGAGAATGACAATGCGCCGCTGGTGCTGTACCCGGCCCAGGGCAGCAGCCCGGCGTCCAGCGAGCTGGTGCCCGTTTCGGCTGAGGCGGGCTACCTGGTCACCAAAGTGGTGGCCGTGGACGCTGACTCGGGTCAGAACTCGTGGCTCTCGTACCACCTGCTGAGGGCCACTGAGCCCGGGCTGTTTGCGGTGGGTGCCCAAAGCGGGGAGGTGCGGCTGAGGAGGCCCGTGACCGAGAGAGACGCCGTGAAGCAGAAGCTCGTCGTTGTGGTGCGAGACAACGGGCGGCCACCACTGTCAGCCACGGCTGCGCTGAGCGCGCTCCTGCTCAGTGACTTCTCAGACGTGCGCGTCCCCCACAGCAGCCCGGCCACGGAGGACGACGACGGCTCCCTGACAACCTATTTAATCATTTCCTTGGTCTGCGTCTCACTCCTTTTCCTCACGTCCGCCGCAGCCTTCATCACTCGCAAGGTGTGCAAGAGAAAGGAGCTGACGCCTGAGCGTGTGCTTTATGGCCCCAGCAACTTGCCGAGGGTCCCGGCTGATGCAGCCGCTGCGGGGACCCTGCCCCACGCCTATTGCTACGAGGTCAGCCTCACAACGGGCTCAGGCAGCAGCGAGTTCCAGTTCCTGAAGCCCATCCTCCCCAGCCTGTCGCCACAGCACCGTGCCTCGGGGGGTGGCACCGATGAGGAGCTCCAGTTCCCCCATGGCCCTATGGCTGTGGAGGACACGGCACCGGGGGACCCAGGGACGCTCTCTGCCCAACACTCCCACAGTCTTGCCTTTAACTAGCTCGGAGGCAGCACGGCCAGAGGCTTCGTGCCCCACGACAGGAAGGGATGCAGGCTACTGCGTGCGGCCGTGGTTCCTCCAGAGTAAATCTGCATTTGCAATTGGCATCACCAATTTCCCAGAAATTTGAAGGGAGAAGAACTGTTGTTTCTCCATCCCAACCACCAACCAACCAGCCGAGCAAACCTACACCTCCCTCATGCTGGAAAGATTTGGTTTCCTCTTCCTGACAGATATTTCTGAAACTCTTTGAGAGTGGGATGACTTCCAAGATCCCCCACTAAGTTTTTTGTCAGACTCACTGTTAGGCAAGACCATGGAGTTCAAATTCTGTGTTGTAACTCACCGGTGTGCTCGGGCAGACCAATCGCCTGCTCGCTGAATTGCACGTAGCGCTGGTCACAGGCCAGAAAAGCAAGGAAGTTGTGAGTACTGTGTCCCAATGTGGTGCATGCACGGGGCTCATTCCTCTCTTTCTCTTGGGGGTCTGTCTGGGAGGTGTGTGGGCTCTGTCTCTCTGTCTGTCCGTGCAGCCGTTGGGTGTGTGTAAATGCTGCGCTGGTGCTGCCCGGTAAAGCGGGGAGTTGCGCACATCGAACTGTTGCAATGTGCACAGTCCCAGCTCAGCGGGCACGGAGGGTCTATTGTCCCCTTGGCTAGAGAAGCCACATCTTGTCTACGGGAGAGCAGTAAAACACAGGAGCTGTCCCTTTGGGCCGTGAGAGGGGCTGGGTGGGTGGGCTGCCTGCTTGGGAGTGCCCTGGAAGTGCAGCAGCACCAAGGGTGTTGGCACAGGCTGTACCTGGACAGAGCTGGGAATAGGTGTTGCTTTTCTATGGGTGCAAGGAACATCCAGAAGTTGTTTCCAAGGGCTTGTCTGAAGGCAGAATCAGGAGGAACTTGAAAAAGGACTGTTGAGTTTGACCTGATCATCATTGTTCCTAAATTCAGAGGCTTCTTGATGGGAGTGGGAAGCTGTCCCAATAGGATTTTGTGCGTTTGTGTTAGAGCATGTGCATTCTCCTTTTTACCCCTTCTCCTTTTACTCTTTGAACATTGTTGAGCATTGTGATGCCTATTTTGCTTGAGAAGGACTGTCACCCCATATATAATAATTGATTGTTTGAATGAAGGCCATGTGGCACGGAGTATTCAGAGACCCTCACGCTGTTATGTAGAGGAGTTGTAACTACATCATTGTAACCCGGGGTACTCTTGCGTGTAAAAGTGAAATAAAGAGAATCGGTGAACGCCTTGTGTGGAGATTGTAGTCTTTGGAGAGGTGTTCTTTCTGGGAATGCTCTGCCAAGTTTTCCAAAAGGCTGGGATTATTTTTCTCCTTTTGTCCCTTGGCTCAGGTGAAGTTGAGCAGGTGAATTGGTTCAGTGTGGAGACGTGTCCGATAGAGCATTTGGGGAAATTGTGGGGAGCAGGGAACTACTGCCAGGCCTCTGTGGGATTCTGAGCAGTGAGCTTCTGGCTGTGAGAGAGCCCAGTGAGCTCCAGGCCAGGGGAAAGTGTCGCCTGGGCTAAGAGGGGCCCTGGGTGTGCAAAGACCTCTGCAAAGCAGGGAGGTGGGGACAGTGACGTTTCCAAGACTCCCGACAGCTCCAGCTGCATGTAGCAACTGTGGGGTGTTTGAGCACAAAGTCTTTTGATTCTAAAGCTTTTGGGGGGATGGATGGATTGACAGACGGATGGATGGATGGATGGATGGATGGATGGATGGATGGATGGATGGATGGATGGATGGATGGATGGATGTCACCAAGGCAGTGTACGTGTTCCCTTGGGAAATATTGGGTGGATGCCCAGGAGGTGGGCAAGAACTACTGCCCGGGAGAGGATTCCCTCTCCTGAAATGCCGAGGAGCACAGCCGTCCCTTCTGTAAAACCCTTGATAGAAGGTAAGTCCTGAGGACAGGCTGGTGTAGTGCTGCTGAGCGGGAGAGTGTTGTATGTGGAAGAGGGAATGATCCTTGGTCCAGTTCATCGGGGCAGGCGCAGGCCTGTGCTGGGCTGTGCTGTTGTGGTTTGTGCTGCATAAATCCCTGGTGGGCAGGAGAAACTCCGAGAGTTCATTGCAACGAGGAACCTGCAGGCAGCTCACCCTTGGCCCTGGAGAGAAAGCCACCTGCGAGCAAGGAGTCCACGTGGGACAGTCTTTTCTGTGACAGCAGATGCCATGAGTGGAATTGATTTCTTGCAGAAAGGACCTATGTTTACTTCAAGGATGGAAGCGGCACCACCCTTCCATTTCTATGACTTCGGTCTGTATGGCATCAAGTGCGTGGCTTGATTGATGTGTGAAGCTTCTGTGCTCAGGCTTCTCAACATCTAAAGGGACATAAGATTCTCTATGCTGATCTCTTCCAATACTGTGAGCTATAACAGAGTTGTGACTAACTCTGTAGAGAGTCGTAATTTTCTCTTGTTGAGGTGACAAGGAACCAGCAGCTCCTGTTGCAAAACAGCTGTTTCTGGGGTCGTTCCATGTGGAGCATCTGGGAGTCTGATGTGGTTCATGACCAGAGAAGGAGAAGCCTGAGTTCCTCAACAATATTTTTTCCCCAGTTTTCACTGGCAGTCTCTCATCCCACACATCTCAATTGGATGAACCTCCAGTCAGGGACTGGGTGAGCAAAGTCCCTCCTGCTGTAAGAAAAGATCAGGTTTGAGAGCACCTGAGGAACCTGGAGATACAGAATGTATGGGAGCCAAGGAGGTGCTATCCGCTGCTATCAAAAAACCCCACCACACACTCAAACACAGGATCCTGAGGAACCTTCTGGCCCTGGAGAGAAAGCCACCTGCAATCAAGGAATCCACGTGGGACCTTCTGTTACTGTGACAGCAGAAAGGATGTGTAGAACTGCTTTCTTGCCGAAAAGACCTCTACTGACCTCAAGGATGCAAGGGGGACCACTCGTATTTTTTTTCTATGACCAGTGTCTTCCTGACATGATGTGCTCGGCTGAAGTCCCATGTGAAGCTACTGAGATCAGGGTTCTCGACACTGAAAGGGACATTAGATTCTCTACACTAATCTCTAACAATACTGTGAGCTATAACAGAGTTGTGAATGAATTCTTGGAGACTTGGTGTGTCTCTCAGTGAAATGACAAGGAAGCCGCACCTCTTGGTGTAAAACAGCTACTTCTTGGGTCATCCTAGCTCAAGCACGTGGATGTCTGATGTAGTTCATAACCAGAGAAGGAGAAGACTAAGTTCCTCATCAATACTTTTGCTTCCGTGTTCACTGGCAGTCTCTCATGCCACACATCTCGAGCGGATGAGTCTCAACTCTGGGACTGTGTGAGCAAAGTCCCTCCGACTGTAAGGAAAGATCAGTTTCGAGCGGACCTGAGAAGCTGAAGATACAGAAGGTGTGGGAGCCAAGGAGGTGCATCGCAGATTCCTGAGAGAAGTGAGGGTCCTGAGGCTGATGCAATTGCCAAGCCACTCTCCAGGATATTTGAAAAGTCATGGCACTCCGGAGAAGTCCCTGGTGACCGGAAAAAGGGAAACGTTGCAGCCATTTGGAAAAAGGTTTGCAAGGAGGACCCTGGTGTGGAATAATTACAAAAATGACCAAAATCCAGCATTGTTCATGCATTACGGAATGGTATAAAATCAAAAGGCATCTAGGGCATAACACAGCTGCAGCTGGCATGCGAAGAATCCACCAGGACATCTGCGATTGCTGGGACAATATTGCTTGCAGAGCACCACGGGGGGTGAATTGGGCTGGAGAGCTCAGGTCTCTCCCTGCGATGGTACAGCAGGTACGGGAATGAGGGGGAACTACAGAACTGACAAGCTGCATACTGGCTACCCCGAGCCAACATCCTGTTGGATTTTGATGAAATGCTGTCCTTTGTGCGAATTTTGCTCGTTACAAGGTCATTATAATAGCAAAACACAGCTCCATCCCAAAGGCTGCCCGCTGCTAAGGTGCGACCACTCCTCTTTGACTCTGTGCCCTGTGTTTTTGTAATCTCTACCTTTAAACGTGAAGCGAGAGGATTTTACACCAATCATACTAAAAGTATTTACATCTAGAGTCACTCAAACTCCAGCCGGAAGGTAAAAAATAATATAGAAATAGCCCAGGGAAGTTGGTGGAAGACACCATCGTGTGAACCTCTGGGATCAGTGGACGGGCTGAGCCTCTCTTTCCCTCCCCGTATGGATGCCTTTGGGTAAGACTTAGGAACTTAGAAGTGTTTCTAGAAAGTCCCTTTGGCATTTCTATAGCCTGGCTGTACTGTTATAATTTTGTTGTGTGCTTTATATATCCTCTTCTTTGCACATGCTTTGCAGAGAGCGTATTTCTCACCGACAATCATAAGGACCTCTATATCTGTCAATTAATAAGCTGGACCATTTAAGCAACTAGTCGTTTCAGTTTCTCACTGAACGCGACCAAAGAGTGGCCGTGCTAGTTCATGAGCACGACTAGAGTGAAGGTGCCGTCCACTATTAGTGTATCCGAACCGTAACAGGTTCATATATTGAACCCGCTTGGACTGAGAGTGGTGATTTGGCTCTCTCTGAGATTTTCTGCCTTAACCAGTTGACGTGACAGCTGGGGAAGTACTGACCTGTCACCTGAGCTCTGTGCCTGGGCAGCTCACGGAACAGATCCTCCTGGGAGCTCTGCTGAAGCACCTGCGAGGACAGGGAGGTGCTTGGGGACAGCCAGCACGGCTTCACCAAGAGCGAGTCTTGCCTGAGCAACCTAGTGACGTCGTGCGGTGGAGTGACTGCATCAGGGGACAGGGGAAGAGCTACGGGAGTCGCCTACCTGGAGTTCTGCAAGGCATTTGACACGCTGTCCTTGTCTCCAAATGGGAGAGACAGGTGGAATTGCTGGATGTAGTATTGTGGGGATAAGAATTTAGCTGAAGCATCGAATGGGGAAGGAATTTAATGCCAAATTTACAGGAGAAGGAATTGAAGGTACTATGGAGCGGAGAAGGAATCGGGTGGGCCGCCGGGTTCGTGGAGTGGCCGTCACTGCCTCCGTGTCCCTGCGGAGATCCATGACGAGTGCTGTCCCTCCGGGGTCGGTCCGGACACTGCTTAACCTCTTCCTCCCCGGCACGGAGAGCGGGATGGCGCAGAACCTGAGCGCCTCGGGGGCTGACAGCAAGCCGAGTGGCGCGCTGGCCGAGCGGCCCGGCGGGCGACGCGTGTCGCGTGTCCTGCCGGCGTGTCCGTGGCGGGGCAGGGCCCGGCCTGCCGGGAGCCCGGCGCGCACGCCTGCCCGCGGGCTCTGGGCAGCGGGGGAGGACGCGGGGCAGCTGCCGGCGCTGCCCGGGCGCTCGGGCTGCAGCGGCGGCCCCGCCGGGCTCTGGGCGCTCCTGCCCTGCGCTTGCCGCCCCGGCGCGGGGTGCGCGCGTCCTGCCGCGGGGCCCCCACGCGTGTGCGCGTCCTGCCGCGGGGCCCCCACGCGTGTGCGCACGGCCCCGCGTGGCGGGGCGAGCCGGCAGCGCGGGCAGCGGGCAGCGGGCGGCGGGCGCAGTCCCGCCGCGGGCCGCAGGGTGGTGCTGCCGGCCAAGGCGGCGCCGAGCGGCTGCGGGCGGGGAGGCGGCCGAGCCCGGCCCGGCCCTGCCCAGCCCAGCCCAGCCCAGCCCAGCCGGGCGGCGGCCAAGGCGGCGGCAGCGGCGGCGAGCGGTGCCCCGGTCCCCCCCGCTGCAGGGCCACGGCGGCCGCGCTCGGCGGAGGACGGCGCGGGCGCCCCGCGGGACGGAGGCTGCCCGCCGCCCCGTGCGCCATGGCGCCGGCAAGGCAAGTGCTCTGGCTCTCGGCTCTCCTCTGCCTGCCGCCCGCTCGCTGCCAGCCCCTCCGCTACTCCGTAGCCGAGGAGGGCGAGCGCGGCTCCGTGGTAGGCAACGTGGCGGAGGACGCGGGGCTGGCCCCGGCGCAGCTCTCGGCTCGCCGCGCCCGCCTGGCCTCGGAGGACGGCCGGCAGCACTTTCGCTTCGAGCGCGGCACCGGCCGCCTCGTGGTGGCGGAGAGGCTGGACCGGGAGGAGCTGTGCGGGCAGGCCGGGACGTGCACGCTCCCCGTCGAGCTGCTGCTGGCCGACCCGCTGCAGTTCGTGCGGGTCGAGGTGGCCGTGGAGGACGTCAATGACCACTCGCCCGTGTTCCCGGAGGAGCAAGTCACGCTGAGGATCCTGGAAACGAGCAACCCGGGCTCGCGTTTCCCGCTGGAGTTAGCTCAGGACCTGGATATTGGCAGC